GTGGTAATGGATAGCTACATGCACAACTATAGATTCCTGGTTTTAGCTCCTCTGTAAATATATAATTTCAAGTGAATGGGGATTATTCACCTGTCCTAACTTCTTATCCAGTCACTGTAAAATCAAAATTCCACTCTGGAAGATACATAGTCGACAGGGGTCTTGATTTGGTGAAATACCTCAATGAAAGAGAGTTTTGTAAGAACTTACAGGGCTCCAGGGAAAAGGAGCAGGCAGCATTCATAAAACACCCATTTCTAACCATCTGCCATACGTCAAAGTCAATGACACTCTGATGCTGACCTCTTAGTCAAGGTTAGCATTTCTTTGTCTAGCATTTCCATTAAATGTTATGATTCAATTTAGTTTTTTTTGCAAAGTATGTGGTGGCAGCAACTTTACAGAACTGCTTTAGAAGTTGGTCTAGCTTCAGAATAACCTGCATTAGACGTATCAGGTCATAAATCAAGTGCAGTAGGAATACAATGTAAACCAAGTAGTCAGCTTAAAATGTAGGTCTTAATAGGAAAGAGTGTTCATTTGGTTAATTAGTATTGCAATAAATAATATCACAAATACCCTACTTCAGGGGATATCAACACATCCCTAAATGCAATGTTATGAAGATATCCTATTTCACAAGCACTCCTGAGATGATAGTGTCTAAGAAAACTGATGGTACTAATGTTGCATAATGAGAAGTGTTTCTCCAGACATGGACCTGTGGTGGGGAGACTTGAGCTCTGTAGATCACCCACTTTACAAGTGAATTTCTTATCATCAACAATTGAAGAATTTCAGGTAACAGGGCCTGGATAGTCATGCCTTCGAAATCTTGGAAGGCTTCCCCCAATCAACTAGGTAGAGCATGCATAAATAATCTAATTAAATTTAAGGCAGTTGCTAGTATATTGTTGTATTATACCATATTTGAAACATTTCAAAACATTTAATTAAATGAATGATTTATTCCAGTAGAAAACAGAGTGTACTTGTAAAATTTCAGGGCCCATCTGTGATAACACGCCCAAGCCTTTGGGAAAACTATAGTGTCTGGCTTTACTCCGGGATTATCTGTATATCTTCTGTTAAGATTAAGACCCTTTAACACAGAGGGACTTTAGACAAGGTGAAAAGATAACCAAATGAGTTTACTGAAAACAAGATGAATAAAGGGTTAACTCCATCCAGGACTATTGTAAGGTAACTTAAAACAGCATATTACAAAAGGAGATTTTGCTGGCTGCAGTCATCTCTCTGGAGTCTTCTGCCTCTGGTGCAAAGTGATGGTTTACAAGCTGTTGCTTATAAGCAGTCTCAATCTTTATTTTTCTGAAGCTTAAGCTGGTTAAAAGCTTCTGTTGTCTATTGGATTGGTGGTATAAGAATACTGCTGAATGCAGGTGCTAAGGGTGCCTGTTTTGGATTCCTTGGGCCTAGGATTACCAGACAATACCCAAGCCTCTAATCACCGTAGCTCTACTTCAGGAAAAGAGGAGTCCAGCAAAAGAGGCAAATGGAATACAGGCAACGGAATAGACCAACTAACGCTGGCCTCTAGGGATTTGTTTATGCTCCACCCAAAACCTAATACAAAGGAAGGCATCTACACTATTGGGGAAAACTAAACAGGGGGAACTAAAGCAGAGGAGAGGAAAAGGCAGAGCCAAGACTTCACACCACCAGCCTGTCTATATAGTTTGTTTTGTTGTCTTTGCTGTCAAGTCAGCTTTGACTCATGAATGGCAGACCTTTGTGAGCCAAAGTGATTTATTTGCTCAGGTCATGAAGACTCAGGGCCATGGCTTCCTTTGTTGAAAAAATCTAACTGTAATGTTGCTTGTCTCCTTTTCTACATTATTATTGTCTTACTATTACCATTGGTAGAGTCTTTTTCCATGAATTGTGTCATTTCCTGATACATCTATAGCAGAACTTTCCAAAGCATGTCGCCACATATTAGAGTGTCAACTGCAGTGTGTAGGTGTGTCCCATGAACATACCGAGAAACCTCTGAATCTATTTGATATAAACAATAAATCATATGCTGTAGTAAAATATATAAATAAGAGTTTCATGAGATATGTTGTGTCCCCCTACATTTTGTTATTACAATTTATGTATATGTCCATATCTCTTGTAAGGGGTTGGTTTCACTGTTTGGTAAAACTGAATTATTGTGTTGCGAAATGATGCATGTCTAAAAAGTGTGTCACCAACATGAAATGTTTGGAAAGCTCTGATCTAAGTATGATTAATCATTTTAATGTTTAGTGAGAGTTCATTATGTAAATATATAGGGGAGTCGCAGTAGCACAGTTGGTTAAACCCTTGTGCTGGCTGAATTATTGACCTGAAGACCTGAAGGTCAGTGGTTCAAATCTGAGAGATGGGGTGAGTTCCCATCTGTCAGCCTCAGCTTCCCATGCGGACACATGAGAGAAGCCACCCACAGGATGGTAACACATCCGGGCATCCTCTGGGAAATGTGCTTGCAGATGGCCAATTCTCTCACACCAGAAGCAACTTGCAGTATATTCTTAATTTGCTTCTCTCTCTCTCTCTCTCTCTCACACACACACACACACACACAAACAAAATATATCCATATGTTTTGTTATATAAATATAATACTTTATCAAAATTATGTTGGGCACTTTACCAGTTTATCATTCCAAAAAGTAAAATATTTTTTATGCTCCTATGCAACATATGAATACTGGTTTTTTAGAGACTTTGTAATTGCCATTATACAAGATATTCCAGTTATGTAAGAACTAAGGCTATTTTAATAATGTTAAGTCAATCCTAGAGAATTTCAGCCTATCGTATTTGGATGCTGCAATGTAATTCATCCATAAACAGCTCCCATGGTCTCCAAAGTTCATTGTTAATGAGGGTGAAATCACTGGAACGCATCAGAGCTTCATAAGCCGTAATGGGATGGACAAGTCAACAGCAGCTAGTGTTTATCTGGCTGCTTCCTATCACTCTCCCCACTCTTTTAAACACACACACACACAGGATGGAAAAAATATCAGTACTATGTCTTATACAACAGTGATAAAGTGTGAGGAGATTTATGAGAAATACTCAGAATGAAGCTGCAGTTTCAGTTTTGAGACCTACTCCCTGAAAATATGCATTGGGAAGAACTTTAAAGCAGTATACCAGTTAAAGTAAGATTACTTATATCAGTTTAGGATAATCTCATTAACTCTAAAGACCTGCCAAACATAATCTTACTTCTGCAAGGCATCTCTGTGCGTGAATGAAGTGACACTGAATGCACGCAGAAGTGAAAAACAATGTTCTTATCCTATGGACGATTTCCCCCCTTACGCATCCAATGAATTTTGGGGATAGAGTAAAAGTTAAGATGTTCTAGACTAGAATGATGAAACCAATTGAAAAGTTATCAAATAATATTGTATTATATAACTTTTGAAGGAGTCCCCGGTGGTATAATGGCTTAAACCCTTGTGCTAGCAGGACTGAAGACTGACTGGTTGGGGGTTTGAATCTGGGGAGAGTATGGATGAGCTCCCTCTGTCAGCTCCAACTCCCCTTGCGAGGACATGAGAGAAGACTCTCACAAGGATGGTAAAACATCAAAACATCTGGGTGTCTCCTGGGCAACAGCCTTGCAGATGGCCAATTCTCTCACACCAGAAGCGACTTGCAGTTTCTCAAAGTCACTCCTGACATGAAAAAAATAATCAGAGTATTGATTTATTTTAGGATACACACACATACACACACACACAGGTTTTTCAATTAAGGGCTACTGGAATAGCTATAAAATGTGGAATAGTCAAGCAGTATTAAATTTATATACTTCCAGTTGCTTAAAATGAAACAAAAAGGTGTTTTTATTTTACTCAGCTTTCAAAAAATTATGATTTTTATATTTCCTGCAAAACTCACTGATTTTAATTTTGCTTTTTTCTTCTTCTGCAAAGCATCAGAAGAAATGTTTGCCTTATTTATATAGATTACATGTCTGTGCATGAAGTACTTGGGTTTTTTTCCTGATATGACTGCATGACGAAAGAGAATTGAAAGTGGCTTCAGTTTCCAATTTGGCCTCATTTCTGCTCTCAGTTGGGAATCCTGTTACTTGACTAGACAAGACAAACATGCTGGAATGAAATAAGTACTGTATCGGTATCTCAGTATATTCCTATGCAGGTTGTACCTTATGTCACCCATTTAAGCCACTTAATCTCTTGCCTTGACTGAATAACAGTCCCATTAGACAACTTCATATCACTTACTAACAGCTGTATTCCCTTGCTTGTTTGCCTTCTTAATCTAAAGATCAACTGGCACCAGAAAGTGTGTATATTAAGACAGAAGGGGTACGAAAGTGTGACTATATGCATATAATAAACTCAGAGAATGTACGTTTTATGACAAATGTGTTAAATGCTAATTTTTGTTCAAGGTGTGCAAAACGACAGAATGACAACTAGAAATTATCACAGAAAAAAATGACTGGAACAAGATTATGAATAAGCACATGTGAAATTGATGGTGCATATACTGTAAAATTAATGCAGTTTGACCCTATTTGAACTGCCATGGCTCAATGCTATGGAATCACAGGGTTTGTTGCTTTACAAGGTCTTCAGCCTTCTCTGCCAAAGAGTACTGGTGCCTCGCCAAACTACAACAGGTAGTTAAAGTGGTGTCAATTTGAATTATTTCTACTGTGTAGATCAGGCATGGGCAAACTTTGGCCCTCCAGGTGTTTTGGACGACTGTTAGGAATTGTGGAAGTCCAAAACACCCGGAGGGCCAAAGTTTGTCCATGCCTGGTGAAGCTGCACCCTGACACAGAATAGAAATAGACTGATTTATCCATTCTTGTAAGTGAAAGATGTTGGCAGCAGAGGGGTGGGAATGAAGAGAATGCTGATTCAAGATTGTCCATGTGTTTATATGAGCTTAATTCTTAAATGTATTGAATTAAATGTGGAGGGTTTCTTTATCTGCAGTATTTGAGAATAAAGATAAGATTGTGATCATCATGGAGTACGCAAGTAAAGGAGAGCTGTATGATTATATCAGCGAAAGGCGGAGGCTGAATGAGAGAGAGACACGACACTTCTTCCGGCAAATTGTCTCTGCTGTGCATTACTGCCATAAGGTGAGCCGCATCAACAGATGGCACATTCATGTGGTGATGCTTTATTTGTATCTTGCTCTCTATGTTCCCAGTGACTGTGTGCCAAGAACCAAAATTATTCCATAGGAGCTGAAGATGGAATTCAGTTCAGTTTAAAAGTGATCAGATACTTTGGATGTTGTTTGTTGCTGGCTTCTAAGCAGATATGTCATGGTGAAGGATATGTGTATTGGGTTGCTATAAGTTTTCCGGACTGTGTGGCCATGTGGGGATGCCTGCCATTGATGTGGATGAAACGTCAGGAGAGAATGCTTCTGGAACATGGCCATACAGTGCAGAAAATTCAGCAATCCATTGATTCTGGTCATGAAAGCCTTCAACAACAATATGTGTATTTGTGATTGCACAATAGCCTTGTACATTGATTATATCTACATTAAGGCTTTCTATTGCTTTGTAAATTGCTTCAATTAATTTTGTATTTACTTTATTTTTATCTCACCTTTTCCCTGATATGGGAATACTAGTATATGTGGTGAAGGCATACAAAAACATACACAAGGCTTTTCCTAGTGTATCTGTACCAGTCTTTTGTCCCTCATTCGTAGTGGAAAAAATAGAGTTCTAAATCCTTACCATAAAAATTCAAAAAAATTAAAGATTTTAAAAATATTTATTATTTATTTACAGTATTTATATTTCACCCTTCTCACCTCGCAGGAGACTCAGGATAGATTACAATGCACATATACATGGCAAACATTCAGTGCCATAGACACACAACATATATAGACAGGCACACAGGGCTATTTAACATTCCAGCTTCATGAGGGTATTCCGGCCACCAGGGGAGCTGTCACTTCACTGTCCACTTGTGACACTGATGGAGTACTTCCTAATTCTTTTGCAGGCTGCTGGAAATTTTTATGGCGTCTTAAATTAGTTAAATTAGCCTCCCTGCATAAACAGTACCTAAATTTCCTACTTGAGAGATGCAACTGTCTTTTGGGCTGCAAAGGTCAACAGCAAGCTAGACAAATGGTCAGGAGCTTACTCTGACCCAGGCTGGCTTCGAACTCATGACCACAGCCCTGTCCCTCTAAAATGACAAAAGTTTATTTGAAAGAGGCGTATAATCTGTTAAGTGTTTAGAAATTTTCTCAAAACTATGACATGGCTATAATAGGTTTAAATCTTTTTCCACTATATAAATTAACTGCATTTTTGAAGACTATAGGTTTCAGCTTTTCTATTTTGCAATACAGAAAATCAACAGCACATTACTGTTTGCTTCAATTTCAATGACATAACAAGCTTAATTTGTTAGATGTAGGTTCTAACATTTGTCTTTGAGGGATATATCATCATGCCTAAAAGGCCAGTTGTGCAACCAGATCTTTTATAATGGTTAACTTAGCTCTGAAAGGGAGAGTGACTGGGTTTTCTGGTGCCTGGGAAGCATATATTACTTTCACACAGTAGAAGAAGGATTGGGCTTGGAATTAAGGTCCTAAAAGCATCCCCTGCTGTTTTACAGGCTTTGTGGGAGGACAGATTCCAGTCATTCTTCCCTTAACCACACAGCAAGTGACTAATACATCTCCTGTCACTAGTTACTAGGCTGCAAGTGTTATGACTGCATTCGAAATGCAAAGACCACCCTGATGGCTCTCTTCTTTAATCCATTCAATATCAAGCCCTCCCACAAATTGTGTCTGTCCATCCTAATGTTCTTTTCTCTCTTTTCCCCCCAGAATGGCGTTGTCCATAGGGACCTAAAACTGGAAAATATTCTTCTTGATGACAATTGTAATATTAAGGTAAATTCTTTTCTGCTGTGCATGTATAGTTTGCAGAACTTTCACAATATCACAGTGCAGAGCTTTATGCAGACAATGTGACTTTAACATTAAATTGGTTGCTGCCCAAATGATTTTTTTTTTTTGGAAGAGCACTCAAAAGTTTGCACATGTTTAGTTTTTTAAAATGTTATGTAGAAGTAAGGGAATGGGATTTTCCTCCCTTTGAAGGGGAACAATAGCAAATCAGCAGGCACAACAGTAGACTCTTAGCACAAGCTGATCTACTTTGCAGATGGTATTTTTGCTGGCTGCTGGGACCATGAAAACGTTCTGGGCCTGAAAGGTTCAAGTGCCTCCTCTGGAGCACTCTGAACATCCTTTGATCATGTCTGAAAAATAAGCAAATCTAGTTTCAAAATAAACTCAAACATTGCACATGTCCTTCATTAGGAAGTGGCCTTAGAACTCCAAGCACAATGATAGCTTTCAGATTGCCTTTTTGTGATGTCATAACTATGACAAAAATCCATAGTGCAAGCATGGGAATGACCTTTTCATTTTTCCTGGAAGAAAAGGATGGCTATGATACAAGATATGTGGTGATGTTCTGGGAACAGCACTAATTTCCCAAGTTACCTTCAACTGTTTAAAACTCAGAAAGCATTGAATGATGATAGAAACTTTCCTTACATTGCCAGTTGCCTTCACAAGGAATGATTGGAAATCATATGATACTGAAAGCTTGCTGGCACAAAAAATAAATAAAAACAAAACATAAAAATAAAAATGGAATAAAACCCAAACTTCAGTTGTTATACACTTCATATACAGTTACTCCGTAGCATTTCTCATTTTTCTGCTGCCCTGGAGACTAGGACATAGAACAATGGCTTCAAACTACAGGAAGGGAGATTCCACCTGAACATGAGGAAGAACTTTCTAACCATTGAGAGCTGTTCAGCAGTGGAACTCTCTGCCCTGGAATGTGGTGGAGGCTCCTTCTTTAGAGGCTTTAAACAGAGGTTGGATGGCCATCTGTCGGGGTGTTTGAATGTGGTTTTCCTGCTTCTTGGCAAGGGGCTGGACTGGATGCCCCATGAGGTCTCTTCCAACTTTATGATTCTATGAAATCTTCAATAAAACATAATTTTGAGATGTATTTTATGTCAAAAGCATTACATAAATAAATAATTATAGAACCGATAAAGTAAAGAGAGCATAAGCAGCTAAATAGTTTTCAACCAAAAACGGGCAACAGTGACTGCATTGTCTGTAGCCTTAAACAGTTCTTCCTTTGTGCATGAGGCAGGGCATTGTGGGCAAACATACTGATGCTGAGTTGTTTGTTCTGCTCCACAATTGCACAAGGTGGAGGATTCTTCTAGGTAGTGCCATTTTGCCAGGTTGTCTTTTGATCTGCCAACTCATTTTTTGAGTCTGTTTGGGGAATTCCAAGTTGCCCATTCTTGGTTTGCCCCTGGAAGAAGACCCTCATGGGGAGGGGGGTGGGGGGGTTGGAATTGCCTGATATTGCTGCCCACAGGAATATTCTTGCTGTTACTGGGGGAACATTTAGAGAGGTGGTGGTTCTCATGAAACTTTCCCTTGATTTAAATCTGCTGGGAGGAGGCTGATAGCCATACAGTGGGTGGCTTTCACTGTTTTCAACCTAATTTCTCTCGCAGTTGGCAGCTACTTCCTGTCACACATCAGGGGAGAGGGGTCAATGCTAGCTAGCTTAAAGAGTCTATCAACAGGTTTTGGGAGTTTTTAGAGTTATAAATCTAGTCCTAAGTATGCCTTATTTTATAATTATTTTGAAGGCATGATGATATTACATAGTATCTCCCTATTTACTACAAACAATAAATGTTCAAGGAGAATTCCATGTATGGCTTTTTTCTCTTAATATTCTTCTTTTGATTCATGTGATAGTAGGAAAAAGAAACATACTCCTCTTTCCTCATTACTTTGTTCATACTTTCCTAATGACTGAATATCAATATACATACTAAAAAGTAATGTCCGTACTAATATTCCCTGTGTACTCAAGGAAGTTGCTGGTGTTTTGATAGCAATAAACATTTTGAGATCTTAAAACTGAAGACAATTTCCATTTTATCCCCCACGCTTATTCTCATCACTGCCTGAATCTGGATTTTGTCAAACTAAACATTTCCTTTCCTCTTTATATCTGACTTGCCATACTGCGCTCAGGCCTATCAACAGGGTTCATATAAAACAAAATCGCACTATCATGTTTGATTCTGTAGGTTTAGATTTCATTTTTTAGTGTGGTTTCTGTTTTGATCTCAGAGACTTCTGCCTCTCCATTGTTTCACTAAACAATATTTGTTGGCAAGGAAACACATCTGGGATTGTAAATTATTGATGTTCAGTTGAGCAAATCTGGAAAACCTCATTTACAACAAATATTGAGAAATGTGTATTTCTAGGAAACTAGAAATGGGCTGTCTGCAAGTAGATATTAAATGCTTTTTATATTTTAAAGCTTTCATTAACTTGTCTTAGAGAATATATTCCATCTAGCAATGTTCAAAGGGCTATGTTTTGTTAATTGTTTGCATAAGTATAAGTCAGGCAAATATCCATGTGATAATGCTTACTATCAGAGTTATTTATTATTTAAAACTTTTATATCCCGATCTTCTCAACCTCCGTAGGGGGACTCAGACCGGCTTGTAGGATTCTGAGTAAAAGAGCTTTCAGTGCTTCATAAAAGTAGTGACTAGAATGTAACAATATAACTGTCTCTGAAGATAAAGATGTCTAATATTCTAGTAATTAGAAGACCAGGTAGAAAGGAAAAAAATGAAAGTTTTTGCACTTTTTATAGCTGTGCAAAAAAGGGATTTTCAGAAGGTGCCCTATCTTATTTTCCATCCAGCCACACTGTTGCTGCTGTTTCTCTTGGCCTCTCATTGCAGGTGCACTTCTGTACTTGGCAATGACATTAGAGTGATCCACTGTGGAAGCTTTAAGTTTCAACCAGGGTGTACCTGTGACAATGCCAGGGCTCTGCCTTATTCAGGTAGAGATGAACCAAACAAAAACCCAGTTGATATCAAGCAGTTTAATTAAAATAGCACTTACTTTCTGGCTGTTTTAAAAGTCCAAAATATAAAACATAAAGATTGCACTCAGCCACAGAATATAAAACAAAAACAGCAAACCCTTTTACAGGTTCAAGATAACTCCATAGTCGAAAGGTCCAGTCCAGCGGTCAAATGCCAAGAGTTCAATAAACAAAGTCCCGGGATCAAGAGTCTATACCACAGTCAAAAGCCAGTCCAAAGATTCAAGGTTCCAGGATTCCAAAGGTTCAGGAGACAGGTCAGGTCACCGGAAATCCACAAACTTGGGGAAAAACCAGCAGCACCCACCACCAAGATAAGACAAATACTTTTCTCCCAAAGTTCAGTTCCAAGGCTCGCTCCTCATATCCAGAAACACCCAGCTGCAACCTATCTCTTGTATACCTCCATCCTTTATTGCTTTCACCCATGAACTCTTACTTACAGAATACTCAACCCTTTGGAACTAAGACATACATTAACCCTTCCATCACCAACTGCTAGGCCTACCACCACCAACTGCAGAACATGATACATGACACTACCTCTGGAGATAGAGACAAAAGCAGCTCTAAGACCCACAAAAGCTAATGTTTTGACTTTAAAGGTATATTTTTTCCAGTAAGTATTGTAGAATTAAAACCTGATCCACAGTAGATCAGCCTGACCTGAAATTGGCTTGTTCATTATCCAGGATGCTTTCTCATATCAGCCCGTCATGGAGCTTCTATCAAAAAGTTTACTAATTATAGCAAGTAGAATCATAGAATCATAGAGTTGGAAGAGACCTCGTGGACCATCCAGTCCAACCCCCTGCCAAGAAGCAGGAAAATCACATTCAAAGCACCCTCAACAGATGGTCATGCAGCCTCTGTTTAAAAGCCTCCAAAGAAGGAGCCTCCACCACATTCTGGGGCAGAGAGTTCCACTGCTGAACAGCTCTCAACGGTTAGGAAGTTCTTCCGCATGTTCAAGTGGAATCTACTGTAGTTTGAAGCCATTGTTCTGCATCCTAGTCAGAAAACAACCTGCTCTCTCCTCCTCTTGACTTCCCCTTACATATTTATACATGGCCATCATGTCTTCTCTCAGCCTTCTCTTCTGAAGGCTAAACATGTCCAGCTCTTCAAATTGTTCCTCAAAGGGCTTGATCATTTTAGTAGGCCAACTGAGCAATAATATTTGGAATGGACTTTCCCTTTTTAAAAAATGGGAATGCTAACATGCAAGATTTATCAGCTTGTTAGTTTCTGTAACTGAGATAGAAGGCCTAAAATACTTTCTGGACAAAAAGTAAGTGCCCCTTTTTCTGAATAGAAAATAGAAATGCATGTCTCCCTGCTCTCTGCAGGGGATATGGGAGTGGGAAGACACAGAACCAGAAGAAGAATGTTCTGCTATGAAGTGCCAGCAGGAAACGGTGTTACCAGATTTTATTGCAAGGATAAGATTATTCCATTTGGCTTTTTTGGCTCAAGGGCTAAAGAGAAGTATAGTGTGACCCTCATATATGCAAGACTAGGACCCATGATTTTATTTATCCATTCCTGACAAAATATGGCCTCTCTTGGCATTCTCATGGTCTTCCAGCTCAACTCTAGCACTCATGGCTGGAACTCCTTAATTTGAATAGGGTTTGTTATCTGTGGTTTTGTCTATCCATGTGAAATCCAGGAATGTATCACCCATGGATATGGGTGGTCATACTGTACTTTGTTTTAGCTTTATGGAAAGTTTTGTATTTTTTTTAAAGAAGAATTTGATCTCCTGTAAACATTACAAGGGAGTTCCCTTATGGATCTTGAGCTTGGCAATTAAATTTTTCTTGGCTGCAGTGCAATCATGATAAAAACTATGTTTGGATCTGATGGAAGTGTTCTGAGGCCCTCTTAGGGTATGTTGTTCAATAACAAGGGAAGTCCCATATTATAAGGCATTGGATCCAGTTGTTTTTCTGAGGAAAATATAGTCTGCCCACAGCCTCCCATGGATCACCATCCTAGAATTCCTTTACAGCAACATGTCACACCAGGATGAACTACAGATTATCAAGAACATCATTCTGAATGAGGCTACAGCACACCTAGCCACCAAGCTCTGCCAATTTCTACTCACTTATAATTATTTCACTTCTGAGAATAACGTTACCTCCAGGTCAGTGGGACTGCTATGGGCATCCGCATGGCAAAATAGGTTCATGGATGACCTTGGACAATGCTTTCTCACCACATGCATCCAGAAATCCCCCCTCTATCTAGGATTTCCTGATGACATATTTGAAAATTGGCTACTTGGAAAGCAATGTGCCGTTTTGCCAGGATTTCTACAACTTCATTACAATCATCTATTTGTGGCTGAAACAATCAGCACTACAAATCTTGACATCACCATTCAATTGCATAAGCCTCACAGTCTTTTTGAAAACCCACTGATTGCTTCACTTATATGTGTCCAGTTTCCATACAGAATTTATTTATTTATTTATTTATTTATTTATTTATTTATTTATTTATTTATTTATTTATTATTTAGGGCTTTTATATCCCGTCCTTTCTCAACCTCCGCAGAAGGCCTCAGGATGGCTCACCAAATCTGTTGTTTATAGCCAGGCCTTCTGATGCAACCGCATCTACTCATACCCAGACTCTAGGATTTGCAGTTGACATTTCTGAAACTACAAACCAAAATCAATTAGGCAAGTTTAGTTCCTAGGAACAGTCTACTACAGACCAAGAACGCAAAATGAGAGAATGCTCATGGTGGCCAATTAGTTATGGTTTTGTGTCTGGAATAAATATACCAGTAACACATTCTCACAAGTTCTGGCAGGCAGGCTCTTATTGGCCTACAGACAGCCTCCAAACCTTGAAGAACTATTCATTTCCAACAGGAAGAATAATATGGATGGTACGATAAAACTGATCCACAAATTCAGTTACCAACTCTGTCCCCACATCAATATTACAGGGGGCCAATAACATCACCCACAACAACAGAAGTACATGCCCTTGTTTTTCACAATGCTCGTCTAGATTCGACATTGAATAAAAAGAATAGTGCTACACAAGAGGGCAAATGGGCACAAATATAATAAACCGAATAATAAACTTTATTTGTACCCCACCACCATCTCTCTGAAAGGGCCTCAGGGTGGCTAACATGAGGCCAAGCCCAAAATTACAGTACAGCAAAATACTGATATTTGAAGTGGCAGTACCCAAAGTCCAGTTACAGAACATGTCAGCCTTCCTTGACATACAGTGAATGAATTAAGGGTTATGATCTTTGAATGAGGAAATTACAAAGGAAGACAAGAAAGTGTCTTTCACAATATTTGGAAAATGTTACACTTTACTGCAACTGGACAACATGCAGCCAGGGGACCTAAGCTAAAGGATTCTCATTTTATTTATAATGAATTGACAACTGCTTTCTCTGGCACACAGAGAAATTGATGACAGAAGGAGTAAAAAAAAGGTCCATTCACTAGCACCTCATGAGTATTGGAAAATAGAATGAGAAAACAAGATAAATAAAATAATCTAAATTAGGCTTAGTGACCCTGTTTATATGTATAATTCTGTTTCTTTGAAACTGTACAGTATACTCCACAGAAAAATCTTGGATTTCATGAACATTGTACTCTCTTGTCAATAATTCAGCGGGGTTTTCTAAACCAAAGGCCAATAGGGAAAGGTCCAGTTTCAGAGTGAAGTAAAGTAGCAATTCCAAATTACACTAAGCCTGAATATTTCAGAGGAGTACATGTTTCATGATCCATGAGTATGTTTCATTGCATTTCTTGTAAGCAGTGGAAACAGTTATTTCCTTTAAGGTAAAGCAAGGGAATACAAAGTCTAGCTTTTCTGCAACCCCCTCCCTGTTTGGGAAAGTTTTTTTTTTTGATGTAATACTTTGGATGTGTTTAAGTGCCAAGAACATGAAGGAATCTTGGCTACGATGACATTTTTTCCATAGTGGGAGGAGGGAAAACGACAACTTTAATGGGAAAAGCTGATAAACTTTAGTCTGCGAATATGGGAGTTGGTTGTGATAGAAATACTTTTTCCTGAATGGCCACAATGAAAACAAAAAAAGTATTTTGTGTGTATTAATATTGGCATGGAGATATCAATGTTTTTGCAGATTGTGTGATGATAAGGGAACAGATTGTCCTAAGCAACCATACACCACAGTATCAGAACCAACCACTGCCTCTATATAGAGCTTATTCTGTGATCCAGCATACAAATTCTAACACTGAAGATTTTAGATTTGGATTGACATGGCCTTCTTTTTTAGTTTAAGACTGACTTGTTTCTAACCATTCAGAGTGACTTGATAAGAAAGTAGAATTTGTTTAAGGTAATTAACTGCAATCTGAACCCCAAGAATAGATTTACAGACTGCATTTGTACACCAGCTTCTTCTAACAAGATTCCAGATATTGAAGAATTTATAGAGCACTGTTTTCCCATTTTTTGTCTGCATACCCAGAACTTCTAAAAACATGGGTTGAAATGCTGTCTTGTTTTAAAAATGAGATTTCAAATGAAAAGAGAATAGCTGTGTATACAAAGTCCCCCCTCCTTCATATACCCATATGCACCCATCAAACATGGTGTAGATGCATGGTTGGATAACACTATATATATGTGTGTGTATATATATGCCAACCTAGGATCTGCCAACCTAGCAGTTCGAAAACATGCAAATATGAGTAGATCTACTCCAGCGGGAAGGTTACAGAACTTCATGCAGTCATGCCGGCCACATGACCTTGGAGGTGTCTACAGACAATGATGGCTCTTCGGCTTAGAAATGGAGATGAGCACCACACCCCAGAGTCAGATACGACTGGACTTCATGTCATGGGAAAAACTTTACCTATATATATATATACACACACACACAACATTTATATTCTGCCCTTCTCACCCCACAGGGGACTCAGGGCGGAGCATAACATATATACAGCAAACATTCAATGCTGAGACATAAACTTTAAATATACACAAACCTTAAAATCACTTATATCAGCTTTAAAATCAACAGTTTAAAACTGTCTCAGGACACCATTCTATTATTCCCTCACTGCACTGCCCCAAAGGCTTGGTCCCACAGCCAGGTCTTCACCATGCTTCTGAAGGACAGGAGGTAGGGAGCTGATCTAATATAAATGATGTTTAAAGATGACATAAGTACAATAATGAACTGCAATCTAGTTCCTGTCCTGTATATGATAATGAAGAGTTCAAAACTGCAGGTGGAATTCATTCTGCAGGTCATTTTCAGTTTTCTTCTTTAAGCACAACTTTTGACTCCTTTTACTATAGTTGTGGTAACCTTTCTCAATTGTTTTAAATCAGCTGATCCTTGATATGCCAGGTAATGATTAAAACCACCCCTTCTAACACTGCCTAGTAAGTGCAGGAAGCATTTAGTACAACAGTGCAGATTGCTCAGGCAAACAAGACAGTCCATATGCATTGAAGGAAGGAGAGACTCACTGGAATCATTAGTTAACTTGGTGCATCAGATGAGAAGGACTGCAATTCTCAAAGATTTATAGCAAATGAAAAATGTTGGTCTTCAAGGTGTCACAAGGCGCTTTCTGGGAACAATCTTGCACATTGGGTTTTGGATTTCCAAATTGCCTGGTTTTTATTTTCAAAGAAGAAGAAATAAATTAGGAAGCCCTCGTTATTTGACATCACTCATGATTTTTATTTTGAGAGCTTTTTTATCATGTCAGGAGTGACGAGAATATACTTCTTGTGTGATAGAATATGGCACAATATTACAGACAGCTACTTCTGGTGTAGTTGTCTGAAAGGACGTTGCCCAGGGGATGCTGGGATGCTGGGATGTGTTACCATCCTGTGAGAGGCTTTTCTCATGTCCTCGCATGGGAAGTTGGGGCTGACAGATGGGAGCTCACACTGCCTTCGTGGATTCAAACAGCTGGCCTTCAGGTCTTCAGGTCAGCAGTTCGGCCAGCACAAGGGTTTAACCTATTGCACCACTGCAACTCCCATTTTGAAAGTAAACTCATGGAACTATAAGGAAACTGGCTGGAGAAAAACTTTTACCAGTTTCAAAAACAAAAACATCCACTAACGCTCTTGAATGATAACTACTGCTGATGTTTAGTTATATTTTCATACATTGTCCTTTAGAATATTTTGTATTTTTCTTTGCAGATTGCAGACTTTGGACTTTCAAATCTTTACCAGAAGGATAAATTCCTCCAAACTTTCTGTGGAAGCCCACTATATGCATCTCCTGAAATTGTCAATGGAAGGCCTTACCGGGGTCCAGAGGTAGGCAAAAGGAGAACGGAAGGAAGAAAGAAAAAGGAAAACATGTTTGGGGCATTGGATGTTTGGAATCTGACTAAATCATCACAGGTTTTTTGTGATAATGGAAATAGATTTCTGGCATGGAAGACCTATGAGATCTTTCTTTCATTTGGTTTTCATATTGAGTGCTAGATTTCAAACAAGATATCAGTGTGTTCATTATTAAGCATAGCTAGATATCCTGTTCTTGCAGTTCCATGGGCTTTGGGGATTGATTTTCTTAGTCTTTATGTTTCTTGTCTCTCTGCTCCAGGTTGACAGCTGGGCCCTTGGCGTATTGCTTTATACTCTGGTTTATGGAACAATGCCCTTTGATGGCTTTGATCACAAAAATCTGATCAGGCAGATCAGCAGTGGAGAATATCGTGAACCAACACAGCCCTCAGGTATCAAAGAGATCTGGCATAGTGAATTAAAATGATACGTATTTATAAAGCCTTGCTATACCTATTTTGTAATTCTTGGTTTATGAAAGACTACAGTGTCTGAAGAAAAAAAAACGAATAAAAGAAAACTGGTAGCTCTTGATTTGTACTGGTGCCACCCAGTGCAAATATGCATAGTTTGTAAAAGACATTTGTGGGAATTGTAGAGCAGCATTGTAAAGATGATGGAGAAGTATTAGTGGTTTTCCTCCAGAAAAAAACGACTCCATGGGAATGGAAAGAATCAGGATACTACAATTCATAATTTATTTTGTCCAACCCATGTGGTTCCTGAAATGCTCTCCATTTGAGCTGTGCTACTTGGAGTAATGAAAGGAAAAATGTGGAGACAGGTTTACCAATCATACAACCAGGGGAATGCTATTGAATTACATAACTTCAAAAGGTTATTACAGTTTTAAGCATAAATGTGATTATCATAGATAACACATTAAAAACAATAATCCTGCTTTAATGTCATTCAAGCCATTGAATCTGAAACCACATAGGTTGTGTTTCAGAGGACCTCTGGTTTCTCTGTGTAGTCTAACATTGAATGACATTAAAACAGTTTTAAAATCATATGTCACAAAGCAAAGCCCTAAATTTTTCTAAAATTGTTTTGATGCCTGGGTTAAATGATGGCACAGATGTGTGCAAATTGATAGTTACTATGTTGTATGGTGGTTTTGCGTAGAGGATAGTTCAGGCTATGATCTGTAGCAACTTCTGCTGTTATATGTTCATTTATAATGTTTTTATGACAAAAGAGGCAATACTTTTTGGCCCACCCTCGTATAATAAATAGGTGTTCCTGAAAAAAGTCATTATTGGGGACCAGAACTTCACGAAGGCTATATCTTAAAATATCTTTCAGTGAAAAACACGTTACTTGTCTAATTATATATCAATATGTCAAGATCTATTGTCATGTAGTGGTGCAGCTATTAACATAACATAAAATTACTAAGTTTGTCTAAAGATTCCTTGATTGCCATGAACTATGTTAGTTTGTTATTGTTTGGCAGCACTGAGACAACATAATGTAGTGGTTTGTGCTTCAGGAGTCCAGAGACCAGATTTGGAGTAGATGCTCAGGCATAGAAATCCATGGAGTGGCCTTGGGGAAGTTTTGCTTAGAGCAATGGCAAGCTTCCCCTGAATAAACCTTGTAAGAAAACCTCATACCAAGGTTGTCATAAATTAGAATTGACTTGAATGCACACAACAAAAATGTTAGGCAGTTCATAGAAAAGTAGCAGCTGACTCTAGAGACTTGTCAAAATTTTATTGTGAGCCACTTGTGAAAGCAAAATAGTCGGATATATACAGATGAATCTGGTCTATGAATAGATGAATGAGATCACTTCCATTCTAAGCCAGTTTCTTTCCTAAAGCTGTTTCATGCTTATTTCACATCAGATTGCAATTTATATAGACCACATTTATGTGTTTTCCTTAGAAAGTAGACAGTTGCATGCTTTTTACTCTAAATATATACATTTTATGTGCATTTTATTCTAAAATATGCATTTTATGCATTGTTATAAACATTTTGAACTTTTTTTGAACCCAAAATTATATCGAGCCAAGTTTCAGTTGCACTAAGCCAAAATTTTGAGAAGTATGAAAAGCAAATGATCCACAAACTTTGAAAAATTCCTGATTTGGTCTATACTCCTTCTCACTGCAAGTGGGAATTTACATGACAGAATGGAACAGTGTTCCATTCAACATCTGGATATCAGAGAAAACTCTTGACTCTGAATTCTCCTTAAATCTGGCTTATTCAGAGCTTCGAAATGTTATATAAAGTATCTAAAGCATTGGTGTTAACAGTTCTGTATTGTAATATTCTCACTGGGGATTAGGGTAATGCATTAGTAACACACATATGAACACATGTATCTTTAAATACGGAAAAATGTTCACCACTACCCCACTTTGGAAATAATGAGTAAACTGTGATGGGTTACAGAAACAGGGATAATTTTCATCACAATGCTTTTGTAAGGGAATAGCCCCCGCAGTGGGTTAAAGCACTGAGCTGCTGAACTTGCTGACTGAAAGGTTGCAGGTTCGAATCCAGGGAGCAGTGTGAGCTCCTGCTGTTAGCTCCAGCTTCTGCCAATCTAGCATTTTGGAAACATGCACATGTGAGTAGATAAATAGGTACTGCTCCAGTGGGAAGGTAACGGCGCTCCATGCAGTCATGCCAGCCACATGACCTTGGAGGTGTCTATGGACAACGCCAGCTCTTTGGCTTAGAAATGGAGATGAGCACCAACCCCCAGAGTCGGACACGACTGGACTTAATGTCAGGGGAAAACCTTTACCTTAGCATACATATGTGCTTCTTTATATCTATTGCATTACTGGAGGGCCTTGTCTCTTTTCATAGTATTAATTTATAATTACAGTTATTTTTTTAAAGGATACAATGATTTAAAATGGTATTCTTTGTCACTAGATGCTCGTGGTCTGATCAGATGGATGCTGATGGTGAATCCTGAACGCAGAGCAACCATTGAAGACATAGCCAACCATTGGTGGGTTAACTGGGGCTATAAAAGCAGTGTTTGTGATTGTGATGCCCTCCAAGACTCCGAATCCCCCCTGCTGTCTAGGTTCATAGACTGGCATCATCGTTCAAGTGGCCTCCAGCCAGACACTGATACCAAAATGAAGTGCCTTTCCAAACCAAAGGGATCTGAGGTCATGCTAGAGAGACAGCGGTCCCTGAAAAAATCAAAGAAGGAAAATGACATTGCACAGTCTATCCAGGAAGGAGGAGTTGAAAATGCATGCAAGTTAAACTCCAAGAGGCCCAAAGGCATCTTGAAAAAAAGGAGCAATAGTGAACATCGGTCTCACAGTGCAGGATTCATTGAAGGAGTAGTCAGTCCAGGTTTGCCCTCCACGTTTAAATTGGAGCAGGAGTTATGTCGGGCAGGAGCGTCCATTAAGAACATTGTGGAAGGGGAGGTAACAGGGAAATACAGTGTTAAGCAGTCTTCCTTAATGCCAAAAAAAGGAATCCTCAAGAAAACTCAGCAAAGAGAGTCTGGCTACTATTCATCTCCAGAACGGAGTGAATCTTCCGAACTCTTGGACCATGGCGAGGAAGCAGCAAATGGGGACACATCTCCAGGCATCATTGAAACTTTACGGATAGAGTCTCACAGCCATTCCTACAGGCGCAAGGGCATCTTAAAACACAGCAGCAAATATTCAACCAGCAGCACAGATTCAGCTTTGATCAGTCCTGATACGCCAACACTGGAAGCCATGGAGGGGCCAGTCCTGCCTGGTGAAGGATTATCTCGAAGTTACAGCCGTCCTTCTAGTGTGATTAGTGACGACAGCATTCTGTCCAGTGACTCTTTTGACTTGGTGGACTTTCAAGAAAACAGGCTTAGGATCAGGAGCTGTGTGTCAGCTGAAAATTTCCTCCAGATTCAAGATTTCCAGGGACTCCAAAACCGCTCACGACCGCAGTACCTGAAGCGCTATCGGAATCGGACAGGCGACAGCAGTTTTTCCCTCCTTACAGACATGGATGATGTCACTCAGGTCTACAAGAAAGCTCTGGAGATCTGTAACAAACTTAACTAGCAGATAGGAGATAGGAAGGCCGGATAGGAAGGGTTTGAGGTACCTTTATGATGGAGTTGGCTCAATTATCCATATGCTGACAGTTATATCATCATTGAAGTGACATGGAACAGACAGGCTGAGCAGAAATCCTCCAGTTATGTTAAGGAAAAATTCATCTCATGCTCATTATGCAACCTTATAGCTCATGTAATCAAAATACTACCTAATGTCCAAAGAAGTTACAATAATGCATGAAGCAAAACCTCTGGAATCTGGCAGACAGAAAAAGATCATATTCCAGTGGCTGTAAGATGAGGCTAGACAAAATGTAAACTGGAAAAAAGAGTACATGTATTTATATTAGGGAAGGTAACTAACCACTGGAAAAGCTATAATGCTAAAAGTTTTTTTAAAGAATCGTTCTAAAGGGAAAAAAACAGAAGTTAAGTTTTAAATATTATTTGCAGGTGGATTTGTTAACATCCCTATGCTCAAGTTAATTATATTTTCAGATTCCCTGCCAAATGACGCCATGATCCAGAGATATAAATATGCAGCAGAAAGCCTATGGATGAATACATGCTGCACCAGCTGAAGATTGGTATTTTCAATTATAGCTGCCTTGTGAAAAGCATTTAGGATTTCAGTGGGAAGTGTTTGTATAGAAGTTAGGCTAGAAAGACATCGCAATGTAGTAAACTAATGAAAAGGTGAGGGTAAGGAAGGTTTTTCCAAGTAAAGGGAATCAAACAAGGGCTCTGGAAGTCTGCATAGCAAACAAACCCCAGAATATGGCTCCAAATTGAAGAGAAGTGGTCATCTCAATGGAATCATGACTTTTCACTATGTTTTAGGGAGCTTTTATTTAAACTTCATTGCATATGCCATTTCTATATAGTCTTGTTACCAGTGCATTTGTAATTTCCACTGAACTGTAGACACAATCCAAATATTCCCTTTCCAAATTATGTACAGTCATTGTTCTGCTAAAGAATTGTGCTCTATTCCTTTCAGGAATACCTTGAATTCTTGGCATTAGTCTATATTCTATATCTTCCTTGCATTTCTGCCCCCTTGCCCATTTCCTACTAGGCAGGCTGGAGAACAAGGTTGAAAAATATTTAGTACTAGCTTGTGTACCTGGCATTGCCTGGGTTATTATTTCCTGTATTTTTGTTGGTCATGGGGGTTCAGTGTGCCAAGTTAGGTCCAGATCCCCCCAAACCTCTCCAACATTTTTCTTAGGTCATGGGGGTTAAAGAGGCAGTGGGCAGGATCATGCAAATTCCACACCAATGGAGAAAATCGGAAACACTGGGATGTATGTGGTGGAGGAAACACGTAAAATCTACGATGAAATTTTCCCCGAATGAAAGCATTCCTTTTGGTGGGCAGTATGGTGTTTGGGGAGGACATTGGCAGAGGTTGGACTAGATGTTTATGGTGCTTGCTATAATCTGAAATGTCATTGGAGGGAGGGCTTTGGGTGGCTCCTCAGCACTGTGGGTTAAAGCTGCTTGTGGAAGCAGGAACCTGTCTGTGGAAGTGGGCACCCCAGCCACATACACACATACATATTTTATATAGATATAGATTTTCAGAATCAAAATAATACAGGAAGAAGTTAAATATAGCTGAACAGGTCAGACCAAAACACCATGCTACAAGGAGCAATTGATACTTTAAAACAAAGTAAGGACAAGATGTCAATATGCAAGGAAATAGAAAACCTAAATAGTATCAGTCAGAGCTTATATCTCCTTGCCAGTAACTACTTCTAATACATTATGTATGCAGTCCACAGAAAAGCTAGAATCAATCAAGAGAGTTGAGACAATGCACTGAAGACCTTCCTGCATATCTCAAAAAGCTGACTAGACAGTTGTCCCTGGAAGAAGAAATGTCGAGGCTGAGGCACTTGTTCATCTTTGCAAATTGTATGCACCATGAAGATTAAGAAAACATATGCTGTACTTTGACTTATGCAATTGATATAATAGAATTGTAGATCGTTCAGCTGTAGAATTTGAGTTTTACAATTACCACTAACAGGAGCCTAAGCACAGATTTCCAGAGCCCTTGTCACTAAGTAAATTGTGAGGGAAGGGAAGGGAAGGGAAGGAACATGGTTCATGAAGAAGAAGATAATTGACTTGATGAGGACTTTAGTTTAAGAATGTATATGTATTGTGGATACTACATAGCCAGTGGGGTCAAATGAGAGAAGACAGGAGACATGTCTGATGGATATTATTTAAATACTGCTATTAAAAGGCTTCAACTCCCATAAAGGTACCACCATTGGGTCTGCTGGATTGTGTGAATGTAAGCCTCCTTTTAAATAGGCACTATGTGTTTGATAGGTCTGGGCTATTCAGAATCACTTGGCTTACCTTGGTTCACAGTTGTTCCTGTAAACAGCTCTTTAGTTCCAATAGAGTTGAATTATTAAGGTCACATCACCTTGTTTGCAGCTTCAAGTCAGTAGTCACATCTGACTATAAGTAATAGACCAAGACTCTGTTCTTAGGTTTAACCTGTGCCAACATCATGATTTTAGTTGAGAACAGAATTTGGTCCACCTGATTGTGGCTCCAGAATCTCAGGAAACTAGTGCCAAATTGAAGATATTCCAAAGCAAACACGAAGATCTCCAAACTAGAAGAATGTGTGGTTTTATATTTCTCAAAATTATGTCCAGGTGGCTGATTTCACATAAGGTCACTTTCACTGCACTATTACAGGTAGGCTAGTTAGTCCTAGTTCCCAATAATGATTCTTCCAGTTGCTTATTAATAATACAACTTTGATCAAAAACGGCACTGAATAATACTCACCAAATCCATATCACCACATTTAACAGATTTGACGGCAATTTTCTCACTTTTTTCCCATGGCAAGGAAATACTACTTGATATCTGAGACAGTCTAATGCCCAGTGTTATACATTTCATGGACCTGCACTGCATACTCTAAGCAGTCCAGTCCTAAAGCATATTTACTCAGAAATAGGTTGTACTGAATATGCTGAGGCTTACTCCCAAGTAGGTGAGCATAGGATGACAGCCTCAGAGGAGTACAGCTGTTTAAAGATTTGCTGTGCCTTTTTTGGAGCATTTTTTGAGTTTGGGGAAATGGATCGTTCAGTGATTTGGATATACTTTGCATCAGCATACAGGGAATGTTTTGAATCAGGGATTTGCAAGCCTTGCTCCCTAAAGTTGCCGCAATGGAGCTTGTTTTCAGCAAAAATATGCTGATTTATACTGCCTGTCCACGAAATTCATGTAAACATTTAATTGATGTATGTAATGAAGGAGAGGGAATTTGCAAGAATCATTCCCAGACTGAGCTCTACCTAGGCTGATGCCCAAGCCTGCCGTGTTGAGTACAAATGTGAATAAATGATTGATTGCTGCCAAACTGGAAAAAAAATGTTCTGTAGGGATTTACTGGCATGTTATCATTCCTAGAAGAAGCAGAACACTTGACTGCACATTGTTATTATTATTAGTGTTATGTATTTTTCTTATTTAATTTGGGAAGGTTTTTTTTAATTTCAAAGCTGACTTTTAAAATTTGAATTTGTTGGTTTTTTTTTAATTTATTGGTCTGAAAGCCATTTCAAAGGTATAATAATATATTTTGGTGTAATTTAATTGGTGCAGCATTATTTTACAGCTCTGGCCAAATTGTTACCTTTAAAATGTTTGCTTTTCTTTCTTTTTTTGTTTCGCTCATTGGCTAGTTTGATCTCTATGAGGCAGGGGGAAAAGCTGGATAATCACCCAAAGTGTTTGTATTTTATTAATATGATATTGTCTTTTTGTATGAAATAAAAACAATAAATACAAAATGTGAATAGTGTTGATTCTTTTCCATGAATTCCGTATCTATGTATTCTAAAATTATGGTATAATAGCTTTGTCTGACTGTGCTAGTACAGCTGTACCAGAAGCTCCCACTTTATTTGCCTTGTATTAAGTGTTTGCTTGCAGCCCAAGGCTTGGGATTCTGCAGAAGGGTGGCTTCCTGTTAAAGTTTGCAGTTATAGGGCAGGCCCCCTGTCCATCATCGTTAAGTTTGGTTCCGCCCCCTGTTCAGGACAATTGAGAAGGGAAGGGAGCCATTTTCAGTCAGTTTCAGCAAGGAAAGTCAATGTACAGGACGTATACAGACTTCTCCTGTACAAAGGCTTCAACCCTTAAGACTTCCTGGGGGAGAACAGTCTTAAGAGCATCTAAAGATTCCCAAAGGTTCCCAGGGAGACAGCCTTACAGCCCTGAGGAATTTTGGAGGGAATAACAGCTTTAAACATCAAGAACTCCAGCTAAGTGACTATAGGCCTACTGGTAGGTCCACTCGGTTTTGAGACACAGTTCAACCCAGTAGTGGCACCCACATCAGTTAGGTTTAGGTTCGCAGTCATCCTAGGAGAAGTTTGGAAAGGGATTTTCTTTTAGAATAAAGTAACAGAAGCCACCAGTTGCACAAAAGCCTGGAAGCATTTGTTTAACCTTTTGAAGACAAAAAGTTTCTGTTGATTGTTCACCAATAAAAGACTTTGTTATATTTCACAAGTCCTCTAAAGACTGTTTATAGTGAAAATCCTTACGGATTTCTCTTCGGGCCCCCTGGCTTCCCACTGGGCTAAAGTTATACGTCCTGTTTTAAAGGCAATTTATTTCAAGCCCAGCGCGCGACAGAACACTGACATTGGGAATTAATCCTACAACTTTTCAAAATACGATCCAGAAACTAGTATGATTGCAGTCTGAAAAAATTGGAATTTTCAGCAGTTTTTAAAGAAAACGTATATTCCACTATTCATTTCAAATACTTCAGAAGTATTTACTAGAGGTGGACACAGTATTTGTTCCATTTGTTTCATTCAGGTATTCGTTTCATACCATCCATTCAGATGGCACAAAACAAAAGAGCCATTTTCGGATGAAATAAAAGGTGAAACAAAAGAGAAAGTTGCACGGTTTCCGTTTCTTTGTTTGGTTTTTGGGCTGTGTGGCTTTCCACACATGGCCCAGGGAGTTCTTCCGCATGCATCCGAGGAGGAGGAGAAGGTGTTTGGGCCAATTAGAACCCAAGAAAACAGTGACGTTGCCAGGCTATATATCTCCTCTGCAGATCCAGAGGGAAACTACTCAGTCAGTGGTATCTTAAGCCCTGCCTTTAACCTCAGGGTGCCTCTGCAGATTGAGAAGAAGGGAAAGAGGGAATGTTTTTAAGGAGAATTTATTTATAGAAAGAAAAAAAATCCTTAAAAATCAGGGGATGACCCAAATGTTAGAAAACTTGGTGGGCTAAGAGTGGTCACAGTGCCCTTCATGTGTGGTGATTTTCACCCCTCTAGTCCTAAAATGGAAGGGAAGGGAGGCCTCGGAAGGCTGCCCATGTTCACCAATGGTCTGAAAATTTTTGTTCATTTGGATGAAAGAACGAAACAGCTCATTTGGAAAGGCCTTGTTGTCAGAAGCAGCGCTTAAAAATTAAAACGGGGCCATATGAATGAAACAAACTGAAATGGATAGTGATTCTATACAAATGCACAAGACTAATTTCAAAAATAAAAGTCTAAACAACCAGCAGCAAGATAAAATCAGACATATTTGCAGAACATAGCAAAGAAACATGATTAAAGCCTTCAGTTCCTAGGTAGAGAAAAAGACTGTTACAGTTGAAGTCAAAACCTACTCTTTGAAGGGCAGACATATCTCGATCTTACTTGAAATCAAGAGACATCCTCATATTCTTCTCTGCAATTATACTTTCCTGATTTCTTTTTTAAAAGTTAAATGATATAAATGAAGTTTATCGATTAGTCCGCTGACCATATCAACAGTAAAGACAAAACGAAAAAGTACACAAATAGACACTAATCACTATCCTAAGACTCCTGTAATAGTGAACATTAGAACTTGATTAAGTTAAAAGTAATTAAAATATCATCATTAAAGTGCCAAGGTAAAACTTCATACCACAAAAGTTAAAAACAAAGGTTAAAACAAAGGTTAAAATAGGCCAGCTATTACACAATCCCAGATGCTTTTTGTATCCAGATCCTAATTGAACAAAAGGCTACTCACCATCTGCTGTGATCAGATGTGCAATGATTTAAAGAAGGTCATTTATAGTTTTTAACTTGGTTGCCTGGGAGGAAACAAAAATGTGCATGGATCTAGATTTTATTTGCATTAATTATTATCCCTCTTAAAATGCCAAGCATCACTGAATCTTGGATCCATTTAAGCCTTTTTTTTAGGGTCCCGTGGGACACATTTCAATGATGTATTTTTCTTTTTCTTGTTTATATGCTTCCTTGTATTAGAAAAAGAGTTATTGCTGGTAACTTTTTAAAAATGCATTGAAGCTCAAATGTAAAGTACCCTAAATAAAAGTAAAAGGCTCCATCAAGCCATAACATTTCAGTCTAAATAGAAAGGCCCTGCTTCTGGAAAAGATTTTAAAATACATGGAAGGATGTAATGAAGCCAGAGGTTTCAGAAGTATGAAAGGTTCCCTTGATTCTCCTTTTTTTAAAGTCTAATATTTGAAAGCAGAAAGTGATGTTCTAGCAATTGATTAGAGAAAGCTACCTATGCATCCTAAAGGTACCAGATGCTATTTGATCTTGGAAGTGAAGCAAGGTCAGCGCTGGTTAGTATTTGGATGGGAGGCCACCAACAAATGCCAGATGCTGCGGTCTATGTTTCCAAGGAAGGGATTAAGAAAACCATTTTTGGATATTCTTTGCTTAAGAAAAATTTAGAAAATTCACGAAGTTGCCATAAGTCAACAGGTGACTTGGGGGGCTTCTAGGCAGGGCCCAAATCTGCACCAAAACAGGTTTTTAAAACCTGCTTTGGCACGGATTTGGGTACACACATCCTCCCCCAAACCTGGGCTTTCTCTGAGAGGTGGCTAGATACCCTCCCGGTACCTATCCCCTCCCCCAACCGCTCCCAACCAGCTTTAAAAGTTAAAAAAAAAATACCAGAATGCCATTAAGCTCATCCAGCAGGCCTCCTGGCATGTAGAAATGATGCACCAGGAGGTGGGAGAAATTATTTACCTCCTCAGCCCCCCTCCCCTCCACCTCCTGGCGCATCATGTCTACATGCCAGGATCTTAATGGTAGTCTGGTAATTTTTAAAAAAACATTTGAAGTTGGGGCGGGGGATTAGGGAAGGAATGAGTGCACTTTTGGTTCTCTGGACTCATGGAGCCTGAAGAACCAAGAAGTCCATGGAGACTGGCCCTGGGAGTCAGTCTCCACAGGCCCAATACCCCATTTCAAGAAGGTCCGGATCTAATGGGGTATCTAATTAATTTTGGACAAAGCAGGGTTTACCTGCTTTGCCCTGATTTAATTATGATTTACTGGAGGTGTTGTTTGGATGCCTCAGGTAAAAGTCCAACAGACTCCGTATTTTGAGGCCTGTCTGGAAGGGTCCTTGAAGGCACATATATATTACGTTCTGTAACAAATGTATGCTTAGTTGAGTTGTGGCATGGCCTTATTTCATCCTCAGAACAACTCAGGAAGGTTAGACTATGTCACAGTAATTTCCCAAAATACAAAACAATAATCCACGTTAACTGAATAAACTGCACACAAAATGCAATACACTGAATACTATACTACCTTGAGTCTCATTTGTAGCCCAATTCCAATCAGATCTTGAAAAAGTACATTTTTGGACTATGGTGGTGATGCTGTATAAGGGGGTCTGGGAGTTCAATCCAGAAAGTTACTTTTCATTGCTGTTCATTGCAGTCACAGACCAAAGCATATTTTACAGAAGACTGCAAAAAGCCAAACGATTTATACAATTGCAAACTTAATAAAACACAGATCTTTACTTTTCCTGCCACTAATCTTCCATAAGATTAAAAAAACCCTCATATCTACTGTTTTAAAAATTAAGAGATATGAATATTCAAAATAATCAGAAGAAATATTTATAAAAGGGTTTTCAGAAAAAAAGCTGTTAACGGAAGGTATATTACATGCAATCTTGAACAAAACTCAGTGAACAACTGTTTCTAGTACCTCTTACACACAGATTTTCTTTTGCTCATTAGTTGGGATTTTATTGAAACAACATCTAATAATATTGATTTTTTTTCATGACAAGAGCGACTTGAGAAATTGCAAGTCAGAGAGAATTGGCCCTCTGCAAGGATATTGCCCATGGGATGCCCGGATGTTTTGATGTTTTACCATCCTTGTAGGAGGCTTCTCTCATGTCCCTGCATGGGGAGCTGGAGCTGACAGAGGGAGCTCATCCACGCTCTCCCCAGATTTGAACATGCGACCTGTCAAACCTCAGTCCTGCTGGCACAAGGGTTTAACCCATTTTGCCAGGCTCCTATAATATTGATGGTTATACATTAAAATGGGCAAAAACAAATGTTTTTATTTATCTAGGGATGGCTCATGAATACAGATAGGAAGCTGTCAAAAAATTCCATAGTATTAGGGGTTCTGCTAAAGTAAAGAGCAATAAGAGGTTCTGGCTGCAATCTCATCTGCTGCTAGACTAGCAGCCAATACACACCACAGAATTAAAGCACTGTTATTCCACTTTAAGTATCATGGCTCCATGCTATGGAATAAGTTGTGTTGCAGTTTATAGAGGGGTGTTTACAATTCTCAGCCAGAGTACTCCAAAGCCTCATCATACTACAAATACCAGGATACCATAGATCAGAACCATGGCAGATTAATAGCGCTATAACTGTAGTGTAAATGGGCACAACGGCAACTAATCTTTGGGCCATGTGACATTACACTTTCTGTAACTCATAGTTACCTAAAGTCAAAGCAGAAAGCCACCA